GGGAAGCAAATCATCAAAGGGAATCTTAAATATTTTGACATTTATGACTGTCAACTAAATCTACAGTGTCGGTGTCTTGTCTACCTTGTGTTGTGGTGGCTAAAAGTAAAGGATAAATTGTTGTGCTGTTAAAGACTGCCTTACTCATGTTAGAAAGATCTAACTTAAAAATAATTGGGGGTGGGTTCATTATATGGTTATGAAATCTCCTTCTCGGTTACGCTGATCGCCTCACAGGGACTTTTCCTGGTCTAATCTCCAAATTCGTTTATTAGTGGTGTCCTTGTTTATCTGCGGCTGGTTGACATTTGTTAGTTCCCTATTACTTTTAGTAGCGTCAATGTGCTATATATCTGTTATGTCTATAATGGCTCTACCTCACGTAGGGGTGCGGGGGTGGGGAAGACTTGAAAAGATTAGCTGTCTTTGATCATAAGTGCCTGCGCTCTATCTCCCGTGTGAAGTGGTATAACAAGGTGAGCAATATTGAAGTTAGGCGTCGAGTTCTAGGTAAGCAGGAGAAGTCAGTCAACGAGGCTGTGAAGCTACATCGACTGAGATGGTTAAGACATGTGTTACGTATGCCTAGTCATCGGTTTCATCGACAATGGACAATGTTAGCTGACATAGGGTCAGGCTGGAAAAGAGCTAGCGCGGAGGTCAAACTAAAACATGGCAACAGTCAATAAAATCTACAACAGTTAGTTTAAGCCAGTCACATAGGAAGGTGTAGACTTCCTGGTCGGGGTCCTCGGAACGGTAGAAACCAATGGTTGCAAACAATTGGTGACATGGCTCAAAATCGTTCTCAATGACAGCGCAGATGCATCCACTCCTTGTGACTTATGATTTCCAATCAAACTATATTGTTCTTCGTTATTACTCTTCCTTTGTCTCACACCTCTGTTTACTGTCTCTATTATGCATTTCTTCTACTTTCTTCTGTTGCTTTGTGTGTTACATGGAGTGTGGCGACTTGAACTGGTGCACATCGGTGCAAAGTTCTATGTCAAAAACAGACAGGTGGGGGTGGGGCGTAATTCTGTTCTCTACACTATTCAATACTTTTGGCTGCCTTTTCTGTATTTTTGTCCGACCTTCTTGAAGTCTTTTTCGTATTCTAGAGAGCGTATTTCTGTTCAGAATCGTTATTGTGCAGTAGTTTTTCCGCTAAACATCAGCTGGTGCAGGGATGATTTCTTACTTTTATCTTGTGGCATCAACAAGATAGGTTTGATCATAGTTGTCTTCTATGGATAGTTATTGTTTCAACGCATAGTTATTTCGTGATATTGGTCTAAGTGTGCGTGGTACAGTGTTTTTATTGGCCCGTTCATACCCGGTTGCTGTACACCATAGGTAACCAGTTGTTATTGAATTTTAAGGACGGTTACAGGTAGCTTTTATCAAGTTACACATTCTGTACAGGCAAGCACATACTTGATCAATATACACTTTGCTTTGTAAGGTCGGTCATCCTTGGAGTACCACATAACCTGGTAGTTTCCAATAGCTGACTTGTAGGGAATTGATTTTTTTTTCATGGACTATTGATTGGGGCCCTAGCGACTGGATGGTCTATGAGGTTGACTTGTCACCGGAAGGTCCTGGGTTCGAACGCTATCAGTGGGTTGAGTGCGTACTACTGATGAATCCCAAACTAGGCTGAGGAAACAGCTATCAATAACTTGTAGTGCTCATGGCAGAGACATTTAGGGATTACCCAGGCTACACCATACCTCACTGAAAGTGGCAGCTCAGTGGTAATTCAGTTCTAGTCTATTCTTCTACAGGAACGATGCATATGTATTTCCCTTAAAGTTAGTGTTTACTTTTCCTTCTACTTATTGTTCCCAGGATCAGACTTTTGGTGGTCACATTTCAGTAATCTTACCAGAGTTTACTGATTTCAAGTACCATTATTTCTAGAAGTTCAGCTTCCTAGTTTAGCTACAAAAGGTAGTCACCTGTAGCACAATCTCCGTCAAAGTTAAACTTCCAGCACCACTAACTGACTAAGGGTGGCAATTAGTAGAACTTGTTATGCAGCCAAACTGATTTCCATAAAGAAAACGAGATTTGTGCTGTCGCGTAAACCCACACAGCATCCGAAACGATAGTGTCACATCCCACTATGTTTACTAACTTACATATATGTGTGGACACACACACGCACATGAGGAGAACCCATCAGCCGCTGCAGAAAATATTCCAAAAAATTGGCTGCAACAACAAATAAAATCGCCGGATACAACTGATCCTGGAAATAAATGTCCATCATTATCTCTCTAGCGAAGCCCATCATAGATACGGGTTGATTTCAATAATGCCTTTAAACAACATTGGGTCACATAATTAAATTCGTTAAGGCCTTGGTCGTAAATTCGCTTAAACATGTCTTCTGTTCAAAAATAATTTTCAAGTATTGGATTTGTAGGGATTTTGTTTGACTGCATGGAGGATTTCATCATGAGCTGACATCAGTTAGAGAACCATTGGAAAACCAGTCAGGGAGTAATGGACAGCTGCTTCGTCCTAGTTTGGGACTCTTCACCACCAGGGTTCGAATCCAATCCAATACTTGAAAATTAATCTGATGCTCACTAGCGACCGGCCCTATTCAGGCAGTTAACCTGGGATTTTAGTGGGAATCCGTGACCAGTAGGGTACACCAGGTTGAAGATGAGGCAGTAACTCATCGAAGAAGACATTGCGAAATGCTCGCGCTCTGTCGTGAATTGGCAGAAGTTAGAATTCATGGGCTGGCCATTAGATCGGGTCCCAGTGGCTTAATGGTCTACGAGCTGGCTCGCCTTGTAACCAGAAGGTCCTGGATTCGAACCTCCTGTGGTGGGTGCGTACCATGAAGATTCCCAAACTAGGACGAAACAGCTGTCTAGTACTGCCAGCTGGTTTTCCAACGGTTCTCTAACTGATGTCAGCTCATGATGAAATCCTCAATGCAATCAAAAATTATTTGCTATTACTTCAAACCTGCCTTGCTAATCCAATTTAGAATGAAGGTTCAGTTTACCTAGTGACATTCTCACTCTCTTCCTCCCTTTTTCTTATCCCACACACTTGCGTCATCTACCTACCCCTTATTTGTGACCTTGAACTGTACACAATTTGAACCGTATTGTAATAATTCATGCTGTGTGTATGTGTATAACAGGTACCCGTGTGTGTGATTAGAAAGTCCGAAATGTGATGGGCAAATAGACATCACACGTTTCAGATAATAAACCACGTCTTCTTGTTTTAACGAAGAACTAACCCTAGTCGTAGTTATACAACTCATAGAAAGTTGAGTAGTAGTCTTATTGATGAATAATTTACTCGACAACAGCAAAAACAAATATGAAAATAATATTACAGGATCGATATTGGCAGTTTTTATTTTGCTATTTGCAGTGACAGTAAAGTCGAAAAAGCACAAAAAGTGTAAAGTAATGATGATGATAATAATGTTAACAGCCAAGTTAAAAGTTATTCCATTATGGGTAAATTTTGTTTTGATAAAGTCTCACAGTGATATACAGTAATGTTTACTGATGACGTTTCGAGCACAATTTATTCCAGCTCATAATCATATCAAGGTAATCACACGACTTCCTAAATTCATTTATATAGTTCCATTGTTTTTCTCTTGATTTTCACTTGATTTGATCGGTAGTAGTATAATCCATATTTCGGGTATGAGTGATGAATCATTTCTATTGTATGTGTTGGTGTAGACTCGATGAACAAGGATTCAGTAATCAACCTCTCTCTCCACTTACCTAGATTACTTTTTAGAATTTTAACCCTCTCCCACCCTATTGTGTGGTTGTGTGTTAGCGCATGCATTGCAATTGCTGAGCTTTTTTCTAAATTACTTATCTTCTCGGGGTCAACCATTCTTACCTTAGTTAAATTCTTATGTTCCGACAATCTGACTACCCTGACCTACTAGTTTGACCTATGTAGTTGACCTCACAATCAAGAATGGTTGACCCGAGAAGATAAGTAATTTAGAAAAAAGCTCAGCTATTGCACTTTACGCATTAACAAACAACCACACAATCGGATAGGAGAGGATTAAAATTCTAAGAAGAAATCTATGTAGGTAAAGAGAAAGATTGATTACTGAATCCCGGTTCATTGAGTCTACACACAACAGATGCAATAGGAATGACTCATCACTCATGCCCGAAATATGGAAGATACTACTACCAATCAAATCAAGTGAAAATCAAGAGAAAAACAATGGAACTATATAAATGAATTTAGGAAGTCGTGTGATTACCTTGATATGATTATGAGCTGGAATAAATTGTGCTCGAAACGTCATCAGTAAACATTACTGTATATCACTGTGAGACTTTATCAAAACAAAATTTACCCATAATGGAATTACACTCTACCACAGTGCACAAGTTTTATTCTTGTATCAAGTTGTTTTCACTTATTAACATAGAAGGTTAGACGGGACATTTTCTTAGAAATCAACAAGATATAGAATGACCCACAAAGAAAGGTCAGAGAAAACAACTATTCCAGGGTATTTCATACTTGGCTTACTTTCTGTTTCAGTGCCCTCTAGGCTACAAGCATCGTGCAAAAAAGACCAGATAGTGCAGCTGACATTTATGCCGTAAGGTAAAGTTAATAGTCTGATATTTAGAGGGATTCAAGGCAAGACAATTTTAGCTTAGACTACTGGCTGGTATCCGACAAAAAGCTATTCAGTTTGCAACAGTCAGATTGGGACAAAACTGGCAGTGGGACAGTCAGATAGATCATCAGCATATTTGGTGACGTTGATTTCATCTGAAAGAGGTAAGTCATGCGAAGAGAAAGAGAAGAGAAACAAAGAAAGAACAACACCCACCTTGAGGGACTGTAGCGTCAGTAAGCAGGGCAGAGGAAAATTGGCCTTTACATACAGTATGTATTGCATTATGTTAGAGATATAAGAATGCAACCATTATCATTGTCAAATCAATCTACCTACTACTCCGCGTCATTAGTTTCATAACCACATGGGGAATGAGATCTACAGACAACCGTAAGCATTTATCCATCGGTTACTTACTATAAGAAGTCCGAAAAACTCACGAAAAATATTTTTATTACTAATAATCAAAAAAGTAGTTAAAATATATTACAGAAAAAATCTTAAGGCTTGAGGTCATCGCCTACTAGTCATATAAACAACAAATAAACGAAAATATTTTTAATGTGATGATTTATAACAATAAATGCCAATCGATAGAATGATAGACAACAATACTCTTCATATACTCTTCATTCGATCACTCAATACATCATAAGAGCATAAAACAGTTGATCGTGAACCAATCATAAGGCATAATTGTTTATCGCTATCCATTGGTTTTCTTAAGAAATCTGCATATTGTAAATTGAAACTAGTGTCATTTATTTGACTATTATTATTATGATTAGTGCTCAAAGTATTCGGTAGACAGGTAACATTCCAAATGGGTTTATCATTATCATCCTGATGTGAAGAAAATACAGCTGGAGAACTTCCTTCCTCGATTTCATCATCCTCATCATCACCATCACTATTGCTGTTGTCGGCATATTCACCAAGCAGTAGAAATTCTTCAGATTTCTTGTCTTGATGAATTACACTGAAGAATTTACGACCTTTTAATGAATTATTATTAATAAATTTAGAATTCCATAATTTTGTTTTTTTATCTAATTTTTCTTGTTCTTCTTCAGGTAAGATTATCTCCTCCTCCTCCTCCTCCTCGTCATCATCATCGTCAATAGTTCCACCGCGTTGTTCTTTTTCGACCTCTTCGGCTGAATCTCTTATTCTGCCACTACTATTCGATTTTAACATAGATGGATGAATTGGCCAAGCTTTAATATTTGATCTCATTGTTGTTGTACAATAGACACCGGTAATAGAATCACCAGCACCAGCACCAGACGATAATAACCAACCACATGAACTGGCCACTGATTCTGAGTTGAACATCTGTTTGTTTTGTTGTTGATGATGTTTTTGTAGTTTAATAATAGGCAAAACAGATTATACAATTAATTTATAAGAATAATAATATTAAAATAAAGGTACACAAAGCAGGTCTACCACTTCGACCAATTTTAGACATGGAGGGATCACTGTACCATCTGATTGCCAAATGCTTGTCCGAGATACTGGAGCCTGTGAGACGACAACTCTGTAAGTACTCTCTACGTGATACTTTTGAATTTATTCAGTGCATAAAAGACTTGAATGTAAATGGCAAACAAATGTTATCACTGAACGTGGAATCTCTATTTACGAATAATGTGCCACTCACACAGACACAATTTGTTTCCTTTGCAAGTATATGGATGACAAAAATCTGAGTATCGGAATATTGACCTCATACCTGAAAGAGTTGTTATTAAGATGCACACTCAACGACGTCATCTATAGACAGAAAGACGGGATTGCTATGGACTCTCCCCTTGACCAACTTTTGGTAGACTGCTTCATGACCAGCCTGGAAAACGGCTTCTTAAAATCAACAATGAACAAATTGCTGCCGTACAAAAGATACGTCGATGACACTTTTATAGTTTGTCAAGATGATTCTGATTTAAATTGTATCTTACAGGAGTTTAATAACTGCCATCCTTCAATTAAATTCACAATGGAAGTTGAAAATGAATCAAAGATTCCATTCCTGGACGTCGAATTGTCAAGAAGAGATGACGGAACTCTGAAAAGATCTATCCATAGAAAACCAACATGGAATGGACAACTGACAAACTTCTACATTTGGATACCCATCAGCCGTAAAAGAGCTCTCATCATCTCGCTAGCCCACCGTACCAGAAGAATGTGTAGCGATGACTGTTTAGAGGAAGAGCTCCTATTTCTCAAAAGCATCCTGGTTCAAAATGGATACCCACCACGTTTCGTGGAGAAGAACATGAAACCAAGGCCAAAAGAGAATACACTTCAGTGCAAAAGAAGACACTCTATTTCAATCTGGAATTCAGGGGAGACCTAGCAGCAGATATCCTTAAAAGCAGAATCTCCAATTCCCTGAAGAAGACTTTTCCGGCAACAACTCTAGGAGTGATATTCTTTAGCCGCCCACTACTTCGGAGCAATGAGAAGGACAAACTTCCGCATATGACCACTTCAATGTGCATATATCAGTTCACCTGCTCTTGCGGAGCTAGGTACATAGGTCGTTCTATGCGGGTCTTATCAAAACGTGTTAGAAAACATCATCCAGCATGGCTGCAGAGAGGAGGCACTGGTTCAATCAGAAGCGCAATAACTGAACATCTCGTCAATACCTGTCACAGAATCTCAACTGACTCATCATTTAGAGTCATTTACAAAGTAAACAAAAATCTACCAAAGACAGTCAGTGTGTTTCCGACTCCTTCGTACTGAGAAGGCTCTCACCACATATATCGAAAAACCGGAGCTATGTGTTCAAAAGAAACTAGTCCAGCCTTTACAACTACCATGGACCTGGTTCGGTATGTTCCCTCATCCTTCAGTTTCTTTTTTGTTTTGTTATCTGTGTGTGTAATTTTCCCTCTTTGCCTTCATTCAATTCATCCTATTTTTTCAGTTATAAAATTAGTCATTTTAAGTTTGTTTCCATGCTCCTCCTGATCACACTTGTAATCCGTTTAGAATAACCGTTTTACAATTATACTTTAGTCCTGTGTAATTTGTTTCTATGCCTTTTGTAATCTGTCTATATTCACACCTCCTAACTTACATTTCAAGTTGAAAGTTTTGATTTCAGTTTGTTTCTATGCTCATTTTGTTCACACCTGTAATTTGTCCTATCCCTGCGTAATTTTTGTCTCTAAGCCTCTTGTAATTCATATCAAGGTGAAAATAATTATCACCTTCGTTACTATGTGGAATTAAACAAATACGAATTGTATCCATGTAAATTAATCTATGTAGATGCGATTGTACAGCTGTTTTTGAGAATGAAATCGCCGAAAAGATCTACATCTTTGCTGAACTTCTTGTTCTTTTCAATCTCATGTTCCAATGGGTATTTTCCACGATTATTAAAATTCTGTTGATTTTTAGGCGTTCGTGTGTAGGTTATTCATCAAGGTGAAGTTAGACCACGATTGTTGTGATATCAGTATGAGTTAGCGGTTCGGCCATGCACGTGTTTCAGGGTTCAATTCCCCACCAATGCATATCTTAACTTTCCCGTCCCCTTGCCGGGGTTGTAAGTCAGACAAAGAGGGGAGATCGGGCGTAAGCAACCTGGCCATCCGTAAAATGTCGTTCAAAATGATCAATAGGCAAAAGAGCTCCATTCTCCCCAAGTTTACTGAAGCCATTTCCATCAAGCGCCTGAAACCTGATTTATGCGTCCAGAAAGAAGCGGTTATCAGTCTTTCTTTCCCCTGTCTGCTAACCGGATATTTTCATCTCCCTCTCTTCCGAATGCGAAATGCTAAAGGTTTCCATTATGTATGATTATTATTGTTGTTCGGAATAGTGTTTAATATTACATAAATATATATATATATTATTACTGTATGCATATATTGATCGATTGATTTTTGTTTAAAATGAACTCCGTGCAAATATGTTAAAATTGTTTTTGTAGATATATTTAATAATGTCTTTGGCCTGCAAGCAGCTGACGAGAAGGCAACGAAATAAAAGATTGGTACCATTTTATTCTGAAAAAACTGTAGTTCTTGCTTAGCTCAAATTCATTCAGGGGAATAAATGTATAAAACACCACTGCAATCTACCAAAACTTTGAAGCTCAAGCTTGAAACCGCATGTTCCTTCCTCTAAGAACGCAAAGGAATATAAAAGAGAAGCATTAAGGACCTAAAGACTACTACTGAAGAGTTGTGTTTTAGTCCTAGATTGAGACTCCAGCAGTAAGCACCCACCCATGATCCAACCGAAATTGATTGAATCCAAAAGCTTCAAGTTACGAGGCAAGTTTCGTTGACTACTCAGATCTTGACTACGGGATCTAATGCCCCCCATGACCTTCTGGTTACAAGGCAGGCTAGCTGGTACACCACTAGGCTACTGACAGCCGACTCCTCAATGGCCAGCACATGAAGTCTAACTTCTAACAGACCGTGATTTTAGCGCGACTGGCGAGTATTTGTCCTCACTGGTGACCACTTGGTGGACCCTTTCTGGTCATGACTTTCCATTAGAACTCAGGAAACTACTATCTAAATACAGCCAGTCGCTGGTGCACATCAGGTTAATATTTAAGTATTGGATTACAGGGATATGAGTGAGGCCAGGAATGAGGACAGATAATCGCAGATGACATCCGCTAGTGATGGTGCTATATCTTGCATTGGCAGAAGCTGGAATTCATGGACTGACCATTGGGTAAGGTCATAGTGGCTTAATAGCCTACTAGCTCGCTCACCTTATAACTGTGAAAAGTCCTGTGTCCGAACTCCAGTTGGAGAGTACTGTGAAGAGTTCCAAACCAGGACAGTACACATGTCGAATACTCCCAGTTGGTTTTCCAATGGTTCTCTAACCGATATCAGCTCATGATGAAATTCTGTAACCATGCATACAAATATATATACATATACATACACTGAGTAGCTGGTGGTGACCAGTGTGACTACCTACTGAACGCACTATCAGTAATCAGTAATGACTTGAAGAGTAGACCGATTAAAATGTCTAAATAAAGTAATAATTCTGAATATCCGATATTTTAAATTCCCTTAGGCTTATAAGTATGTTTATTTCACTACGTGTTTAAAAAAGATCACAAACAGATTACCTCCATAGCTTTCTTCTTATCCAATGGACAATACTCCAGCTGGTGACATTGAAATACTAATAGGAGACATGAACGCCAAACTGGCATCAGACAACACAGGAAGCGAACATGACAATTATACATCTCATCCAACAGTTGTACGACAATGCTGCATGCCAAGTAATCCACAACGGGAAACTTACGGAAGCCTTCGAAGTGAGGACGGGAGTGAGGGAAGGCTGTATACTATCGCCAATGATCTTCCTGATTGCAGTAGATTGGATAATGCGAAAGACAACGGGCGATGAGGAAACAGGCATAAAATAGACTCACACAAAAATAACTTGGAGCATCTGGACTTCGCAGATGATATATGTCTGATTTCCCACAAACTGGAAGATATGCAAGTGAAAAGCAACAAGCTGGCAGAAGAAGCATCAAAGATAGCAAGGACTGCAGGTGAACATAGAGAAAACAGAGGTGATGAAGATTCCTGGCCAACAGCAACAGACAACAATCAGCATAAATGGGAGGAACCTGAAAGAAACAACCTCCTTTACCTACCCACCTGGGAAGCATCGTTTCAACTACAGGCCAATGGAACTGAAGAGGATATCAAAGAAAGAATCGGAAAAGCAAGACAAGCTTTCATTACTCACGTCAAGTCCGTGTGGAGGTCAACAGCACTCAGCATCAAAAATAAGATCCGGATTTTCAACTCCAATGTGAAGTCAGTGCTACTATATGGTTCAGAGACTTGGCCAGCGCGTCATGAAGAGCATCTCAAACAAACTACATACCTTCATTAATAGCTGTCTTCGCTCAATACTACTCAAGATCAGATCGCTGGCCAGAAAAGATCACCAACAGGGATCTCTGGCAATGAGCGAACTAACCAACCAGGAACCTATTTTGCAACAAATAGGCAGGAAGAAATGGAGATGGATTGGTGGCCATACTCTGAAGGAACCACCAAGTGGCATCACTAGACAAGCCATTTCTCAAGTGGAACCCGAAAGGGAAGTGGCGAGTTGGTCATCCAAGGGAGACTTGGAGGGGGTCATGTGAAGAGGAGATGAAAGCATGTGGGTGGCAGACTTGGAGCGGGGTGAAGACGTTGGCAGAGAACCAAACGCAGTGGGGACGCGTGACTGAAGCCCTATGTTCCTCTAGGAACTAAAGGAAATAATAATGATTTTTTCTTATCAAGCAGCTGGAAAAACTTTAAGAAAACAACTTCAAACACATTGGAGGAGGAGGAGAATAGAACAAGAAAATACCATAGAAAAATATAATAATAATTTAAACTTACATATAAAAGGGTATTGTCTTGTAATGCTGCCGCTGCCTGCATATTGTACAAACATACAAGACCATCATGAGAACAATCCAGTAGACGTGGATAACCGGATATCGATGTAGGATCGAATTTCACATCGACAATATCTTCTGAATGAAAATCTTTAATACTACCCAACGGAGATGATAAACAACGTGTATCCCAGTAGACAAGATGAGCTGTCTCCTCATCACTATCTGTAGAATCATGACGTTTCCGGCGTTTTTTCTTGTCAAACTTTTTCACACGACATACTTCTGTTCCACAACAAATTAGACTTCCATCTGGACTGATGCAGCAACAGGTGTATGACAATCCATTGTTAGCTGAGTTGGTATTTGACTGTACTACAGGCTGTATTGATGATGAGAAATCAATATGTAAAAAAAAATAATATTATTACTGAATTGATGAAAATATAAATGGTATTTAAACATAAGGCTAACTGTTCGTAACTCCATTAAAGATAAGACTTTATTTCGATAAATCACACAGTGGTGTTATACAGTAATATTAACTGACGGACACGTTTAGAGCCCAATTTATTACTGTTCATAATCATATCAAGGCAATACTCACACAACACTTCGCAATATCCTCTTCGATGAGTTACTTCCTCACTTTCAACCTGCTGTACTCTACTAGTCACGGTTTCTTACTAGATCCCTAGGTAACTGCCTGAAAAACCAGTCGCTAGTGAGCATCAGATTAATTTTCAGTATTGATTTTTGTAGGAATATAAGTAAAAACTTGGGCACTGTGTTTGCGTAGAGTATAATTCCATTATGGATAAGATTTTCATTTTGATAAATCACACAGTGTTATACAGTAATATTAACTGATAACCACGTTTTAGCACAAATTATTGCTACTCATAATCATATCAAGGCACTCACACATTTTCCCTTCATTTATATACACGTGTCGAATCGAATAGATATATGAATAAAAATCAGTATGGGATAATGTACATTCAGAAATAATAATAATATAAGTGTTATTGATCAATTACAATCAGATGGGAAATAAGACGAGTGTTTTCATAGTCATCATAAGTTACTTGTTAGAATGCTGTGATGTGCTTGGATTGAAATAGAATTTTGAGATTATTTATTATCCTCTCTGATTTGACTGACTGACTGACTGGTGGTAATAATATCTTCCATGCATATCTGTGGTATTTGCATTGAGTCATTTCTGTTGCATGTGCTGTGTTGGGTGTAGACTCAATGAACCAGGTAGGATTCAGTAATCAATCTCGCTCTCCACCTACATAGAATCTTAACCCTCTCCCACCGCCCTATTGTGTGGTTGTTTGTTAATGCGTAAAGTGCAATAGCTGAGCTTTTTTCTAAATTACTTATCTTTTCAGGGCCAACTATTCTTACCTTAGCTAAATTCTTATGTTCCGACAATGTGACTACCCCGATCTACTAGTTGGAACTATGTAGTTGACCTAACTCACAGTCATTGCAGGGTATTTTGTAAATTATATTATTTTGTTTAATTGGGTCAACGTACAGAGTCCTTAAGCCTACAGAGCTTGTCTCTGAGTCAGTTTGTAGGTTTGAATGCCAACCTGATTCCTGCTTTATTAAGAATCCTGCGTAGGGCCTCAGATGACCCCTCCTTATATTGTATATCAGTAGATGACTTATATTCTCTCTTATTTACGTTATCATAACTAGTTTCACCATTATTTTTAATTTGCTTTTGGCCTCTTTCGATCTTCCTAATGAATTTTATGGGATAGTTATTTAACACCAAATGATTCTTCTATCTGTTTTATTTCGTCATTTAGGTCTTTTCTTGTGCTACTCTTAGTGCTATTGCTAGGTTTGTTAGACACTTCACTAAGCCTGCCTTATCAGTTAACGGATGAAACAAATTAAAGTCTAAATATCTATTACAATGAGTTGGTTTTCTATAAACAGTAGTGTGTAATTTGCCACACATGCATATAAATGAAAGAAAAAAGTTGTGGGTGAGTAACTTGATATGATTATGAGCAGCAATAATTTGTGCTCGAAACATCATCAGTTAATATTACTGTACAACAACACTGTGTGATTTATTAAAATAAAATCTTATCCATATCGGAGTTATACTCTACCACAGTGTCCAAGATTTATCCTTATATCACTAATTGTTCGTAATTGCACATTTTGTATAATCCAGAGGGGTCCACGAAGCCTTCCTTGTAAGAGAAGAGTTACTCGCCTATGATATTGATTCGTGGTTGAGCAGAACTTGGCATTCACAAGCCATTAGATTGGGTCCCAGTGGCTGAATGCTCTACTAACTAACTCGTCTTGTGACCGGGAAGTTGTGGGTTCAAACTCTAGTAGTGGAATGGGTGCATGATGATGAAGAGTCCCAGATTAGGCTGACAAAACAGCTGCCCCGTAATCCTCAATGGTTTTCCAAGGGTCCTCCAATTAATGCTAACTCGTGATCGAACATTTAAGTTAAGATTCACTTTTAAAAAATTGAGGTCTGTCACGAAACGAGACATTAATTAGAGATTGATTAAAAACCATCATGTACTGGAGAGGTGTTTCTACCTAATTTTCGGCTCTTCATCCAGTACACCCTAACAACCTTATCTAGGCAGTGGGGGGTTGGTGATCACGTTGTGCCACAAATATACAGAAGTATGAATTCAAGAGTCACTGGCTTCTAATCCGGTGGATGAATGTTCAACAGGCTCTCTTTCCTCGGAACCTCAAGATCTAGGTTTGTAGCCTAGTAGGGAGTTCAGTAAGCATTGACAAAGAGTCCCAAACTGGGACAAACGACTGCTCATTGTACCCCTTGGTTTTTACTGACTCTCTATAACTGATGCCGACTCATGAAAAAAGTCGACATTAAAGAATTATAGTTCGAAAACTAAGATATTTTCACATGTGACCGTGCTTCGACTAATGATTTGGGATAGGGTCGTAACCTAATCAATATATCATAATAAAGAAATGAAGAGCTTTTGAATTTAGCAGTACGTTGATAAGTCAAAATACACCCTACTATTACACAGTTGTATAATGTCTGCTGCTTCTTCGACCAGTTTGTCGACTTACAAGCGAAAACCGACAAACTGGTCGAAGAAGCAGACGGCGAAGACAGGACTCCATGTGAACATAGACAAGATGGAGGTTATCAAAATAACCAACAACAACATCCAGCGCCAATCACCATCAACGGGAGGGATTTGAAACAGGTTACTTCATTCACTTATCTACGGAGCATTGTCTCAACTACAGGAAGTCGGAACGGACGAGGATGTCAAATCGAGCGAGAATCGGGTGGTGGGCGAGAAACACATTCACTCACCAACCTGAAACCAATCTGGAAATCTTCGTCACTCAACTCAGCATCAACAACAAAATTCGGTCGGATTTTCAATACAAACGTCAAGTCAGTCAGTTCTTCTGTACGGATCAGAAACTTGGTGGGCGGGTCACAAACAATATTTCCAACAGCCTGTTGCAGACCTTTATCAACCAACAACTGTCTTCGCTGGCTCTATACTGAAGATCAGATGGCCGGGTCGGAAAGAATCACCAACAAGAAACTATGGGAACAAACAAAACAAGAACCAATCGCCAGCCAACAAATATGCAGGAGAAAGTGGAGATGGATTGGACACTCGCTGAGGAGGCCACTGGGTGATATCGCGCGTCAGGCCATTGCTCGAGTGGAACCAGGCCGAAAGGGAAGCGGCGAGTGGGACGTCAGTGCAAGGGTGACATGGAGGAGATCGTGTGAAGAGGAGTTGAAACAGTATGGACTAACATGGATGCAGGTGAAAAGTATAGCAGAAGACAGAAGTGGCAAGTGGAGACGTGCAGTTGAAGCCCTATGTTCCACTAGGAACCCAAGGGAACAATAATAATAATGACAATGTTTACACTACTGAAACAATAATTTCTCGTACATACGAATCGATACTATAAGAAATCACATTACACTAATATCCACCTGATGTTGGGATGAAAAGAATTCATCTTAGCGTATTCGCAATCACCCATCATCATCATCATCATCATATTGTTGAAGACGTCTTAACAACAACTACTGGAAAAATCAGTAGTTTCACGCTCAGAGACCAAAGTACCGTGAGTTAGAATTACGAAATAAAGTGAATGTCTGTCTGTTTTTGACATAGAACTTTGCACAAATGTGCGGAAGTTCAAGTCGCCACATTCCGTGTAGCACGCGAAGCAAGAGAAGAAAGTACAAGAAAAGCATAATAGAAACAGTGAGCAGAGGTGTGAGACAAAGGAGTAATAAAGAAATACAAAGCAGTTTCATTGAAGATCATAAGTCACAGGGAGTGGATGCATCTGAGCCACTGAGAACGGTTTTGAGCCATGTCACCAATTGTTTCCAACCATAGATTTTTACCGTCCCGGAGCTCGAAAACTGTACGCCCGGCTGATTTTATTTATTCGTTTTATTGGAGGGTTGACGGCATACGACATGATGCTAAAGGCATAGAAACACAAGTGAACTTACCGACTGAATGACTGACTGACAGAACTTTGCACAGATGTGCGCACCAGTTCGAGCCGCCACTCTCTCTCTCCATGTAGTACACAAAGCAAGGGAAGCGAGTAACGAGAGATTCAAAAGAGAGAGAGAGAGATAATGAACAGAAGCGTGACGGTAAACAATAATAGTAACACAGAAGAACAGTAGAGCTATATTCGATAAATCACAAAGAGTGAATGCATCTGCATTAGCCAATGATATCAATTTTGAATCATATCACTAACTGTCATCTGCCGTCATTTGGTTCTTACCATCCTGAGAACCCCAACTACGGAGCTGGATGGCTGGCCCTGAACTGAATCGTATGGATTCCGTTGTCAGGTGAAGCCATGTTTTCGTTTGACTACCACTAGCCAACCCTTCTCCAACCTAATCCATTCTATTAATATAAGAGGTAATCCATCCTATGTCAGTTAGCTAATATTGCCCATTGTCAAGGAAGGCGACGGCTAGGCTAGACTAGGCGTGCGTAACACACATCCTAACTATCTCCCTCAATCGATGTATCTACCTCACAACATCGTCGATTTATTCTCCCGCCTTAATTACCACTCCACTGATTCCTCACATCAATATTACTTACCCACTCTATTATATCACCGCCTAACACACACATGGGGGATAGAACGGAGACATCTATGATCAAAGACAGCTAGGCAGGCCTTTTCATGTCTTCCAATGTCAATGGCCGCTAGTGAGTATTTGACTTTAGGCTAACAACACACTATATTAAATCAAAAATAACTTCTTCTACACACTACCAATCGGCTATCTGATGACATATCTCTCACAGGAATTCAAGT